CCTTCTAAATACTTGTCCAGATTCCTTCACCTTGGCTTGGGTTGTGATGTTCGGCTTTCAATTGTCTCTAGATCGACTCGAAAAAAAAAACAAAAAATTAAGTTTTCGGTCCACTTCACCCCAAAATTATTATCTGATCATCACCAAAAATTATTTGCGTTGTCCTTGACCATAACTGGACAACGCAAGCACTCTTCTTGGATATTATATCAACTTCTCGGATATATGTCCTTCAGGGGTGAATCTATACGCCATAGAAAAAATTTGTAATTTTTCACACAAAAGGCATGGTTCATTTGACCCGCTAACTGTTGACCTATCTTTACAAATTAGCGAGGTTTGGGCCATAATTGCGTCCTCTGGAACGACCAGAAAATCAGACAAATATCATCCCATAAATATTAACCAATCTTTACCAAAAACAGTAGGGGTCTTCATTGGCCAGAACACATCCTACATGCAAAATTTCGTGAAGATTGGTCCATAACTGTGGCCTGTATCGTGTTTACAAAATATAATGGACGGACGGACACACATGTCTAGATCGACTCAGCTTGGCAATGCCATTTTCAGTACGAAACTTCCGAGAAGTAGCATCAATGTATGTGAAAAATTCAAAGCTCTATCTAATAGTGACCCCCCATTCTCAGGGTCAAACATTTTTTTTGATATAATTCGACTCTACACTTATTCAAGAATGTCCCTACAAAATTTCAAGGAAAATCTCAAGAACTCTTGAAGATATAGCCGATTTATTGTGTCAGCATCAAGGGACGGCTGAAGGGCTTCTCAAACTTTAAACGCGTTTTTCTCTTTTGCGAATGGCGGGCACGATAACTCAAAAACTAATAACCCAATCGATTTCAAATTTTTACACGTTTCTCTGTGAGTGTATAGCTATCGTATGAACTAGGATAAAGCCAATCGGTGAAGATCTTCCTAATTTTTTACTTGGGTTTTAGTTAAAAATCGGCGATTTTCAAAAACATTTTTTGAAAGGTCCGCCATTTTGTTAATTTTAAAGCGAAGTCAATAATCCTAGTTCATACCAGAGCCAGACATGTATTCTTTCTAAGACAGTTGGAATTTTCGGATTCCGATGTTCCTCGGTGGAACATCGTAATCCGGACGGAATGCGGCCTCTGGAACAACCAGAAAATCAGACAAATATCACCCCATAAATATTAACCAATCTTTACCAAAAACAGTAGGGGTCTTCATTGGCCAGAACCCATCCTACATGCAAAATTTCGTCAAGATTGGTCCATAACTATGGTCTGTACCAGAGCCAGACATGTATTCTTTCTAAGACCGTTGGAATTTCCTCGGTGGAACATCGGGATCCGGACGAAGCTATATATGGGAGCTATATCTAATTCTGAACCGATTTCAACAAAACTTCGCATATATCAATCTGGGCCTAATTCAGTACTATGTGCAAAATTTTGTCTCAATCGGACCATGTACATGTACATAAAATAGGACGAAACTATATATGGAAGCTATATCTAAATCTGAACCGATTTTCAGTAGGGTTCATCCTTGGACCAAATGAGTGACATATGCCAAATTTCATCAAAATCGGATCATAAATGTGACCTGTACTGATTTAACGATTCATCAACGCCCAGACGAAACGGCTGAAGCTAGAATCTTGAAATTTTGGGTGAGGGTCACTCTTGGTCCAAATGTGACAGATAAGGCTGGGTTTATGGAAATTCGTACTATAACGGTACGAAATGTACTAAAAGGTACTAATCTATACTGAAAAAAGAGTAAAGTGATTGACTGACTGACTGATTTAACGATTCATCAACGCCCAGACGAAACGGCTGAAGCTAGAAACTAGTACTAGAATGGTACGAAAAGTACTAAATGTGATACCATTTGTATTTAGCGAACCGGTAGAGCTAGGACTCTGAAATTTGGATTGGTGGTCGCCGATGGAGTGTAGGATAGATATACCAAAGAGTTTTTGGAAATTCCAACTGGAACTATTCGAAAAGTACTAAAATGTACTTAATTTGGTACAATTTCGTAGCATGTTAATGGATAGAGCTAAAAACATGAAATTTGGAATGCGAATTAGGGTTAGAGATGTAGAGTCCATTTAAGGAGATGGTTTCGAAAGCGTGTACTCATGTGTACAAAAAGTACTATATGGTACTATATTTGGTACAAATTTATTTTGAAGGTACAAATCTAGCTGGAATCCTGAAATTTGAAATTAACATTACAATCGGAGTGTAGGATTGGGATATGTACGTAGTTTTGGAAATTTTTTACTTATGTGTACGAAAAGTACTAAATCGTACTATAATTGGTACAATTTGGATTTGGGTGAACCGATAGAGCGCGAACAATGAAATTTGGAGTCAGGATCATTGTAGGCGTGTAGGATTGGGGTCAGGACTCAGTTTAAGAAAATAATACTTATGGGTACTAAATGGTACTAACTATGGTACAATTTGAATTTTAGGTGAACCAATAAAGCTAGAATCATGAAATTTGGAGTCAGGATCACTGTTTGAGGTGTAAGATTGAAATATGTAGGAAGTTTTAGAAATGTGTACTAAATTTGGTACAATTTGTATTGTGAGTGAACCGATAGAGTTGGAATCCTGAAACTTAGATTTGGGATCACTGTGGGGTGTAGGGTTGGGGTATGTAGGAGGGTAAGGAAAGGAAGTTTTAGAAATTTGTACTAAGTGCAATAAATTTGGTACAATTTAAATTGTGGGTGAAACGATAGAGTTGGAATCCTGAAATTTTTTATTTAGGATCACTGTGGAGGTGTAGGATTTGGGTATGTAGGAGGGTAAGGAAATTGGCACTACTATGTACTAAATTTAGTACAATTTGAATTGTGGGTGAACCGATAGAGTTGGAATCCTAAAACTTGAATTTAGTATCAGTGTGGGGGTGTAGGATTGGGGTATTTAGGAAATTTTGGAAATTGGTACTACTGTATACTAAATTTGGTACAATTTGGATTTGGTTCAACCGATAAAGTGGGAATCCTGAAACTTCGATTTAGGATCACTGTGGGAGTGTAGGTTTGGGGTAGGAAGGAAGTTTTGGAAATTCCTACTACTGTGTACTAAATTTGGTACAATTTTAATTGTGGGTGAACCAATAGAGTTGGAATCCTAAAACTAGAATTTAGTATCAGTGTGGGGTTGTAGTATCAGTATGGGTATGTAGGAAGTTTTGGAATTGGCACTGCTGTGTACAAAATTTGGTATAATTTGAATTGTGGGTGGACCGATAGAATTGGAATCCTGAAACATGGGTTTAGAATCACAGTTACCTATAAAATATCCAGGTTTGTCCTTGTCCCTGAAATAATTATCTATAAAATATCCACGTTTGTCCTGGTCCTTGAAAATATTATCTATAAAATATCCACGCTTGTCCTGGCCCTTAAAAAATCCATACATCTTTTGGTCCATGAAAAAAGTTTTTTTTAAATCATGCTTGTGGATTTTTTAAAGAATATTTGTTCCTTAAAAAAATTCTTTAAAAACAACACACTTCCTTTGGCCCATCAAAAAATATTCTTAAATAAATCCACACCTGTGTTAGAATATTATTTTTGGTTCATAAACATAATATTCTTAAATAAATCCACTCCTGTGTTGGTCCTTGAAAAAATATCCTTTTAAAAATCAACGCTTGTTTTGAGTCCTTAAAAAATATTCTATAAAAATCCACGCAACTATTCTTCAAAATATCTATGCTTGTCCTGGTCCATGAAGGGAATATTCTTTTAAAAATCCACGCTTGTCCTGGTCCCAGAAAAAGTATTCTTTAAAAAATCCTTGAATAAAAAAAATATTCTTCAAAATATCCATGCTTGTCCTGGTCCTTGAAGAAAATATTCTTAAACAAATCCGCGTTTCCCGTTGATTCTTGGAAAAATATTCTCAAAATAAATTCACGTCTATATTGGTTCTTAAAAAAATATTTTTAAATAAATCCACGTCTATATTGTTTCATAAAAAAATATTATTTAATAATATTTTTTTATGAAAATCACGTTGGTCCTTGAAAAAATATTATTTTAAAAATCCACCCTTGTCCTGGTCCTAGAAAAAAATATTCTTTAAAAAATCCACTTTCTCTTTTTTACTTAAACAAAAAAATATTCTTCAAAATATCCATGCTTGTCCTGGTTCTTGAAGAAATATTCTTAAATAAATCGACGTTTCTCTTTGATTCTTCGAAAAATATTCTTGTATAAATTTACGTCTGTGTTGGTCCTTTGAAAAAATATTCTTTTAATAAAATTCTTTTATAAAAATATTGGTCCTTTACAAAAATCCTTGCTTCCGTTAATGCTTCTCCAAAATATCAACGCTTTAGTTGTTGCTTAATAAATATTCCTTAAAAATGTACGTCCTATTGTTGTGAATAAATCGCATCGAATTATTATTAACCACAGAGAGTACCCCCTGAAGAGCAAAGTAAAATACCGTCTGTATCGTATTAGTAGCAATGTATTGTTTTAATATTTTTTTTTTTTTTTGTAAGACATTGAACATGTCTGTTTTTTTTTTTTTTTTTGTAAATGTTTAATGTTAACATTATTAAAATCCGTATTAAAAAACATAAAAAGAAGAAGACTTGTTTCTCTGGATGCTGCGACTTCCTTAACAGCAGCATTGAAGTTCATTCAAGGCGAAGTGATATTGACTGCAGCAATGTCTGTCCCTATGAACATCCATCCGTCCGTATGTCTAGATATGCGCAGACTTTAAAAATTCAAAGTCATCTGCGGCAAAAGGATTTTTTCTGGTTTATTAGCCAAAAAAAATGAAACTGGTTTAGTGAGTTTTTTTTAGTTCGGCAAAAAAAGTCAATGGTTGTTCCCTTTTTTTGGTGGGAGCGGGCTTATCGGATATACAGTATAAAAACCATTGATTGGCTGATCACTTCACACAGTTCTCAATTGTAAATTCCAGTGAGAAGACAATCGATATTTCAAACACAACGTAACAATGAAATTCGTAAGTTTTCAATACTAACCACCTACCTTTCAAAATAATAATAATTTCATAATGATTAACATGGGGTGTGTTTGTGTGTATGTGTTTTCAGTTTATCTGTTTAGCTGCCATTGCCTGCATTGGTGTAATTTATGCCGATAATATTGATAAGGATGCCGAAATTCGCAGTCTTACCAATGATGCCGCCGATCCAGAGGGTAACTTCCAATATGCCTACGAAACCTCCAATGGCATACAAGTCCAGGCTGTCGGCAATCCAGCTGGTATTAGTGGCTCCGTGAATTATGTTTCACCCGAAGGAGAACACATCAACTTAAGCTATACCGCCGATGAGGAAGGTTATCATCCAGTTGGTGATCACTTGCCTACACCTCCTCCAGTACCTGCCTACGTTTTGCGTGCCTTGGAATATATCCGCTCCCATCCACCACCACAATTGAAGGAACAACATTAATAATTTCACATTAGCCAATCCTTAGAGTTACAACCCTGCTGCAGAAGATGGCGAAAGGACGATTTCCACCCCCTTAGGTTTCATGAATATCCCATTATCTATTTTTATAAGGCTGTTGATAGATTTATAAAAAATTTAATAAATATACAATTTCATTGTTTTGTTTTTAGGTTAAGTTGAGCGATTTTGTTATAAGTGCAAGAAAAAAAAAATCAAAAGAAAATAAAATTTGTATATATGAAATATAGGTGTGAATTTTTTAAAGAATATATGTCGGGTCAACAGAAGGGGATATTTTTTCATGGCAACGGCTCTTATTGGCTTTAACATGGCGAAGTCCAGGCTTATCTTGGTCCCTCTTTCATCTCAATTGTGGACACTGACCTCCCCGCGGTGCCACCTGGAGAGCTATTTTCATCACCCGATGAAATAGTGAGCTAATATGTGCCGCGAGTTCACCCATAAGAACTATAAAAAATGGGTTGAAAAAGCACAGAAAAATAAAACCAAACCCCCCTAATATTGACGACCTCCGCAAACGTATAAAGGACCACGATCTGGCAATCTGCACTTGGTATGTGCGCACGTTGCACAGAACAGGCGCAGTGTTTGCTTTGGCGGATGTACTCAAGAAGTACAAAGCCGATATTATTGCCCTACAGGAAATGCGATGGAAAGGGACTGGCGTAAGTAAATCAGATGATTACGCCCTGTATTATAGCTGCCATGAAACGAGACGTGAATTCGGCTGCCGATTTATGGTTAACAATAGAATAAAAGACCTCGTCTCCAGATTCACTCCAGTAGATGAGCGATTGGCTATAATCCGTATAAAAGCGAAGTTCTTCCACATCAGTCTCATTTGCACCTATGCTCCGACCGAAGATGAACAGACCAACGACATATTTTACGAGCGCCTAGAAACAGCATATAATCGTTGCCCTGGCCGTCTTAATGTAGCAGCAAAGGTGCAATCTAATATAACACGGAAATTTTACGTCGAAAAGCTGCAAACACAACAGATAGCAAAAGCATACTCCGCTCAACTTACCCAACTGCTTGACGAAAGCACCCCTGGTCCCGATAATAATATAGAAGCACAATGACAGAGAATTGCCCACTCCCTACAAACTGCAGCACTTGGATACCAAAGTCCACCAGCAATAAATCCGTGGTACGATCAGGAGTATCGTAATGCTACTGATATTAAAAACGCAGCGTATAGGGTAACCCTGCGGACAGTAACAACACGTAATGCGATGGAGAATTATCGGGAGAAAAGGAGAGAAAAGAAATGTATTCTCAGAAAAAAAGAAAGAGCAAGAATAATTCGGCTATGCAGGATAACTTTAACTGGCACAAGATTAGCAGTTAAAGTCGGAAAGGACCTCTCGGAGCTCTTTATTACCGAACGAGGATTCAGACAAGGTGACAGTTTATCGTGTGACCTTCTTAACATCCTGCTGGAAAAGGTCATACGAGAAGCAAAGATGAACAGAAATGACACTTTGTACACCAAACAACACATGTTACTCGCCTACGCCGATTACCAACTGTAGAAACAAACTTGAGGATTACAAAGCTTCGAGGTAGTCAAAGATTTTATATACCTTGGTACCGCCATAAATAAAACGAATGACATCAGTTTTGAAATTCGGATAGCCAACCGATGCTACTATGATCGGAGCAAACAACTCAAAAGCAAGGCCACCTCCCGCCAGACCAAACTCACACTCTACCATACGCTGATACTACCCGTGCTGTTATATGGATCTGAAGCATGGGTATTTACGCAAGCAGATGAGGCAGCTCTTGGAGTGTTTGAGAGAAAAATTCTCCGAAAGATCTATCGCCGTCGAATGAACCATGAGTTGTACCGGCTATTCTAGGACATCGACATTGTTAGACGTATTAAGCTGCAGCGACTACGTTGGCTAGGTCATGTTGTGAGAATGGATTAGGGATAAGTAAATCGACTTTCAACTAATCGATTAATCAACTTTTTGTATTGAAAAGTCTAAAAGTCGAAGTCGACTTTTGATCTACGAGAAAATCGTAAAGTCTACTTTTCAAGATCGACTTTCGATTTTCTTCATAAATACTTGATTTTTTTCACAAAGCTCAAATTACCCAAAAATTCCACTTTCCGGAACTTTACTTTATCTGTTCACAATAACTCATATAAAAAATCAAATTTTAGTCGATTTTGCAGAAGTCAGTAAAAGTCGAAAATTGGACAGATTGAACAGAACAGATTGATTTTGAACAGTTTTGACAAAATCGAAAGATCGACTTTTTAGTCAAAGGCAAACATCGAAAAGTCTAAAAATCGACTTTTTGGTCAGAGACTAAAATCGAAAAGTCTAAAAGTCGACTTTTGCGCTCCACTACGTATCCCTAGAATGGATGAAGATGCCCCAGTCCAGAAGGGAAATAAAAGCGAACCAGCTGATGGTTCAAGCAGAAGGGGAAGCCCAAGGATACAATGGACAGATCAAGTCGAAGACAACATTGCCGAAAATAGTCTTTCAAATTGGAAAAACTGCGCAAAAGACCGACGCGCCTGTAAATCTTTTCTAAGCTCGGCTTATGGAACGAAAGTTCTGTTACAAGCCAGCTAAGTAAGTAAGTGTTTATACCGAAAAGTGGATTTTTTGAAACATATTTTTCAGGAACATCCGAAAGCAACATCCGGAACGTGATTTTTTTAAAGAATATTTTTATAATGTATTTTTTTTAAGAATAATATGTTTTTAAAGAATAGGACCTGGAATTTTTAAAGAATATTATTCCAAGGCCAACTGAAGTGGCGATTTTTTAAATTAAATTAAATTAAATAAAAAGCCGAAAATTTTGAATTTATTGAAGATTATTTTTTTAGATATATTGAATATTATTTTGAAATGCTTGAATAGCCATAATAGATAAATATATTGTCTGTTATCATTTGTTATGCTATTGTTAACAAAAAAGTTAATATATTTTTAAATCAGCATATCACACATAAATTATGTGGCACTGTGTACACTTTGAAAATGCATCATTTAAAATATGTTAACATTTTATGGGCAATAAATTTATTTTGAAAGTTAAGATTCCACAATAAATTTAACTGAATGTGGGCGATGTGTTCGCTATGGCTATCATTTTCAATTTTCCCACTTTTTCACTTCTATTAATTTTTATTAAGGAAACTCCCGAATTAAATATTTAAGAATCCATAAAAAAAATAGTTGCAATACGTGTGTGTGTGTGTGATGAAAATACCATTTAAGAAACAAAAACTTTCAAATATATAAAAACTACATTAGTTTAGAATAGTTCTATACAGTTTTCGAAAGCATCTCAAATTCGAACGAACCAAAATAGTTCGAATGCAAAATGAATTTGGTAATTTAAAATTTACATCCTTTATCCCTTAACACATTTGGATTTGTTTTTCAAAAAGCGTTTTTATTTTCAGTCAATATTCTTCGTTCTCTTGACGTTATTCTCCTTGGCCTATGGCCGTCTTATCGACCGCAGAGCCCGAGTGTTACGTTCAAAATATAAAAGACCCGATCGAAAAGGAAATTATTATTATGCCTTTGAAACATCGAATCGAATTCAAGTCCAGGAGGCTGGCAATCCGGTGGGAGTTACGGGCGAAGTGAATTATATATCTCCTGAAGGACGAGTCATTGAACTGAAATATACGGCCGATGAGAATGGTTTTCATCCTGTTGGTAGACATCTGCCAACACCACCACCAATGCCGGACTACATCCGTCGCTCATTGGAATATATAAAGTCACATCCGAATTCGGAAAATCGTGGAATGAAAATGAAGAAGAAACGAACGAGGAAATTTGGGCGTTCTAGGAAAAGGATGCAAAAGTGAAAAGAAGACATGGTGTTTTATATTTATAATGTCATTAATGTGTCTTTATGAAATAAAAATTACTATTCAACACATATTGTGTACATTAAATTTTTTTTTCAAGGATTAAAATAATCGTGAGTTTGTTCAAGCATTACTACAAGACCCACGTAGTAGACATTTAAAAAATACATGTCAAGGACTAAAATTGGATTTTTAACGAATATTTTTTAAATCTACCTAGCGTGCAGCATTGAAGAATATTTTTTCAGAGCGAACACAAGCGTGGAGTTTTCAAGGATCAACAACTATTTTTTTAAAGAATATTTTTTCAACAATCAAAACAGGCGTGGATTTTTTTACCCTACACAACTATGTTGTCAGGGTATTATAGCTTTGTGCAGTCCCAAGAGTTTGTAACGCCGCGAAACATTGGTCCTAGACCCACCTTTAAGTATACCGATCGTCATATCTCGAATAGCTGAGTCGATCTAGACATGTATGTCCGTCCGTCCATCCGTCCGTCTGTCCATTACAGGCCACAGTTATGGACCAATCTTCACGAAATTTTGCATGTAGGATGGGGTTTGGCCAATGAAGACCCCTATTGTTTTTGGAAAAGATCGGTTAATATTTAGGGGATGAAATGGACCAAAAACTTTACTTTTGTCTGATTTTCTGTTCGCTCCAGAGGCCACAATTATAGCCCAAACACCGCGAATGTTTTAATGGAGAAGGGGATCGGGCCAAAGAATAAGCATGTCTGTTTTGATAAAGATCGGTCAATATTTAGCGGGTCAAATGGACCGTGATTTTGACTTTTGTGTGAAAAATGACAAATTTTGTTTTCTATGCCGTATATATTTACTCCTGAAGGATATAGAACTGAGAAATTGATAGTATGTTCAAGAGGAGTGGTTGACCTTTAAATTGATACCAATTATATTATCGTATGTACTCAGATGTGGGAGTTACACTTAAATATTTACAGGTGCTTACGTATTCAGACATTATTTAGTAACCCAAAACCACACTAGAGGGCGGAAATATAGCGCTGACCGTTTTGAAAATTTCCATGAGATTCCAGTTATGGTCAAGGACAACTCCTATAATTTTCGGTGATGATCCGATAATAATTTTGTGTGTGTGTTTTTTTTATGTAAAATCGGACGAAAATATACATGGAAGCTATATCTAAATCTGAACGGATCTTCACGAAACATAGCACACATCATTCTAGACTCAATTCAGTACGCTATGCCAAATTTCGTTCAAATCGAAGAATATATAGGGTCTTTGGTGCACCATTTACATTAAATCGGACGAAAATATAATGGGAGCTATATCTAAATCTGAACGAATCTTCACGAAACTTGGCACACATCATTCTAGACTCAATTCAGTACGCTGTGCCAAATTTTGTGGAAATCGAGGAATATATAGGGTCTTCGGTGCACCATTTACCTTAAATCGGACGAAAATATATATGGGAGCTATATCTAAATCTAAGCCGATTTTCACAAAACTTAGCACACATCATTCTAGACTCAATTCAAAACGCTATGCCAAATTTCGTGCAAATCGAAAGATATATGGGGACTTTGGTACATAATTTTCATTAAATCGGACGAAAATATATATGGGAGCTATATCTAAATCTGGACCGATTTTCAGGAAACTTAACACACATCTTTCTAGACCTAATTCAGTACGCTGTGCCAAATTTCATGCAAATCTGAAGATATATAGGCATTTTGGTGCACCATTTACCTTAAATCGGACGAAACTATGTATGGGAGCTATATCTAAATCTGAACCGATTTTTCCCAATTTCAATAGGGTTTGTCCTTGAATTAGCTGTGCCAATTTTCATTCAATTCGAATAATAAATGCGACCTGTGCCTTGTTTACAATTTAACATGAACAGACGGACGGACGGACATGCATAAATCGACTTAGAAAGTGATTCTATGCATATTCTCAAAAGGAACCATCTGTCTATCTCGTTTCCTTTTGCCTGTTACAAACATATGCACAAAGACATAATACCCTGTACCACAGTGTGGTGAGGGGTATAAATATATTGTATGTTCTAAAATAAGCTTAAAATTTTAAGAGAATATTTTTAGGTCTAGAATAAGGCCCAAGATAAACGCAGAAGTCTTATTTTAGCATATTTTGTTCAAGGATCATCATACAGTTTCGTCAAGAGTTATCTGAAGTATAAGCTTCGATTTTCAAAATTTGTCAAAAGGATTCTTTGAGTATATATATATATATATGTATTTTATTGACTTGCTTGCTTGCTTCGGTTTCACAACATTTTATGTGATTTTCTCCTTAACTTAGCATAACTGAGAACATCTAACATTTGACGTGTATTTACAGCCTTCTTAACGATAAGATATAAGATAAGAAATAATAATGGCATAATATGGTTGCAATGAAGGGATAAAATAACACTCTCCTCGTCCTCGTCCGACAAATGGTTATATAACTTGGTGATTATTATAATATTTTCTCTTCATCTATTCCCCAAAGAAAACGGATTTCCATTTTTGTTTGTTTACTTTTTCTCTTGGTAGTTGGCTGGTGGATGGGCACGAATGTATTCCAATGAACGTAAAATTTCAGCTGGAATTGGTGGTGAAGTTGGCAAATGATCTCCCACAGGATGATAGCCTTCCTCATCGGCGGTGTAGCTCAGAGAGATGCGTTCACCCTCTGGCGAAATGTAACTGTACGAGCCAGTGGCCCCTTGAATATTGCCCGCCTCCTGGGCTTGTATACCGTTTGAGGTTTCAAAGGCATAATGGAAATTACCCTCCGGATCGGCGGCTTCATTGATTAGACTTTGGATTTGGGCATCCTTGTCAATGTTATCACAGTAGACCAGGGCGGCCATGGAGACGAGGACTAGGCAAATGTACTGAAATGAAAAATTTAAATTATTATTATTTTATGATTACAATATCCGAATATCCGTTTCAAACTTACGAATTTCATACTGTTTGAATTGAAATTGTCTTAGTAAACAAAAATTAGAAAACACCCGATACTGCTTGTTGTTGGTGGCCACTGCTTAAATGCAACCGAGAACTGCTTAATTTTCTTGGCCTCGCAGAAGTTTTTATACTTTAAAGTGGTCGCTGTTTGATTTTTGAGCTTGACTTAATTCGTTTTCTAGCTTTTTTAAGCCAAATTAAATTATTTGTCTGTCCAGTCGTCCACCCATTAGTTGATGCGTTACAATGCATTTGCTGGTGGTGTTGCATTATTTGAATACAAAACTCGATTTTTTCTTAATTCTTGTAAAGTGTATTTGCACGCAATCATTTGTTGTTGTAGTTTTCAAAAATGTTATGAGGGATTTCTGTTTTGCTTTGACATCTAAGATTTGTTTAATTTCTTGTGAAAAGTTCAAATAGTTTTGTATTTATTATTTCAAAACTGAAATAATTGAATTAATTTTTTAATAAGAGATGGACAATATTTTTATTATAAATTGTGAATTGTTTAAAGAATATTTTTTGAAATATCCGAATAGTGGAATTTTAGAATATTTTTGGCCAGGATCAGAACAAACTTTTCCCGATAAAGAATATTTTTTTTATAGCCAACCATGAATTTTTTAAGAAAAAATTGAAGGACTTAACCAGTTGTAGGTTTTTTTAAGAACATTTTTCTGGATTTTTTTTTAAAGATTTTTTTTAGGACAAGCATGGATTTTGTCTAGATTTTTTAGGGATTTTTTAAACAATTTTTGTCAAAGACAATTCGTTGGCATAACGTTTTTAAATAATTTTAGTCAAAGGCTATCTGTAGGCAAAAAGTTTTTAATTTCTTTTTTGTTAAAGACGTGGAATTTTTGAAGATTTTTTTCAAAATAATATATTTTGTCAAACACTTCCAAAGATTTGGATTTTTTAAATATTTTTTTTTAGTCCTGCCTTACTTTGGAATTTGCCAAGAACATTTTTTCTTTTATTTGAATAACCACAATTTTTAAGATTTTTCAGGATCTACCACAGGCTTAGAATTTTTAAAGAATACTTTTTTAGGGTCTAGACATGGATTTGTTCAATACTATTTTTCGTGATCTACCAGAGGCGTGAATTTTTCAAAAAATATTGCTTCAGTGTCTACCAGAGGCGTCAATTTTTAAATAATATTTTTTCAGGGTTTGGAAGAATATTTTTTCAGGGTCTACCAGAGGCGTAAATTTTTTAAAGAATATTTGTTCAGGGTCTAGCAGAATTGTAGATTACTTAAAGAGTATTTTTTGGGACTACCATAGGCGTGGATTTTTTAAAGAGTATTTTTTGGGACTACCATAGGCGTGGATTTTTTAAAGAGTATTTCTTGGGACTACCATAGGCGTGGATTTTTTAAAGAGTATTTTTTGGGACTACCATAGGCGTGGATTTTTTAAAGAGTATTTTTTGGGAGTACCACAGGCGTGGATTTTTTAAAGAGTATTTTTTTTTTGGACTACCACAGGCTTGGATTTTTTAAAGAGTATTTTTTTGGGACTACCACAGGCGTGGATTTTTTAAAGAGTATTTTTTTGGGACTACCACAGGCGTGGATTTTTTAAAGAGTATTTTTTTTTTTTGGACTACCACAGGCTTGGATTTTTTAAAGAGTATTTTTTTTTTTTGGACTACCACAGGCTTGGATTTTTTAAAGAGTATTTTTTGGGACTACCACAGTCGTGGATTTTTTAAAGAGTATTTCTTGGGACTACCATAGGCGTGGATTTTTTAAAGAGTATTTTTTGGGACTACCATAGGCGTGGATTTTTTAAAGAGTATTTTTTGTGACTACCATAGGCGTGGATTTTTTAAAGAGTATTTTTTGGGACTACCATAGGCGTGGATTTTTTAAAGAGTATTTTTTGGGACTACCATAGGCTTGGATTTTTTAAAGAGTATTTTTGGGGACTACCATAGGCGTGGATTTTTTAAAGAGTATTTTTTGGGACTACCATAGGCGTGGATTTTTTAAAGAGTATTTTTTGGGACTACCATAGGCGTGGATTTTTTAAAGAGTATTTTTTGGGACTACCATAGGCGTGGATTTTTAAAGAGTATTTTTTGGGACTACCATAGGCGTGGATTTTTTAAAGAGTATTTTTTGGGACTACCATAGGCGTGGATTTTTTAAAGAGTATTTTTTGGGACTACCATAGGCGTGGATTTTTAAAGAGTATTTTTTGGGACTACCACAGGCGTGGATTTTTATACCCCTCACCACACTGTGGTACAGGGTATTATGTCTTTGTGTGTATGTTTGTAACAGGCAAATATAATCGAGATAGACCCATGGTTCCTTTTGAGAATATGCATAGAATCACTTTCTAACTCGATTTATGCATGTTCGTCCGTCTGTCCTTGTTAAATTGTAAACAAAGTACAGGTCGCATTTATGATCCGAATTGGATGAAATTTGGCACAGCTCATTTGTTTGGCCCAAGGACGAACTCTATTGGAAAATCGGTTCAGATTTAGATATAGTTCCCATATATATCTTCGTCTGATTTAGGGTAAATGGTTTACCAAAGTCCCTATATATCTTTCGATTTGCACGAAATGTGGCATAGCGTACTGAATTAAGTCTAGAATGATCTGTGAAAAGTTTCGTAAAAATCGGTTCAGATTTCGATATAGCTCCTATATATAGCTTCGCCCGATTTTAGGTAAATAGTCAATTAAAGTCCCTGGAAATCTTTTGAATTGCACGAAATTTGGCACAGAGTAATGAATAAGATCGAGAATGATGTGTGCAAAGTTTCGTGAAAATCGGTTCGGAGTTATATATAGCTCCCATATATATTTTCATCCGATTTAAGGTAAAGAATATTATTGCAGGGTCTACCAGAGGCGTAGATTTTTTAAAGAATAGTTTTGCAGGGACTACCAGAGGCGTAGATTTCTTAAAAAATATTTTTAAACGGACTACCGCAGGAGTGCATTTTTTATAGAATATTTTTTTTTTATTTTTGGACTACCGCAGGAGTGCATTTTTTATAGAATATTTTTTTTTTATTTTTTGACTACCGCAGGAGTGCATTTTTTATAGAATATTTTTTTTTTATTTTTGGACTACCGCAGGAGTGCATTTTTTAAAGAATATTATGTTTTTTTATGTTTAATTTTCATTTTTATTAAAGTTATGTGGTATTCAGTCAATTGCGTTTTGATAAATGATACATAATATCAGGAACTATAATAAATTAAAATATAAAAATGACATTACTTTTGTCGATCATTCATCCTCATAATTTGTCTTCTTGGTGGTATGAGTTCTTATGTATTCCAATGAACGTTTGATATAATCCGGAATAGGTGGTGGTGTTGGTAAATAATCAGCCGACGGGTGATAACCATTTTCATCGGCGGTATATTTCAACTCAAAAACACTGCCATCTGGCGAAACAAAATTGAACTCTCCGGCAACACCAGCCAAATTTCCAGCAGCCTGTATTTGTATGGCATTTGACGTTTCGAAAGCATAACGGTAATTACCCATAGGATCTGGATGATTACTTGATGTAATATGAAGAATTTTCGCATCTCTTTCACTCAAGTTGGCATACACAAGACAGGATAGAGAAAATGCTAGGAACAGGGAAGTAACCTAAAAAATGTGGAATTTGAGTTTCAAAATTAATTATAAGTAATTGGGATTTTAATTTTTTGTACTTACCAAATTCATAATTGTAAAAAAAATGTTGTTGTCCTAAATGTGTTTGATGCAAAATGTCTAGAATAGAACTGTTGCGCTTCCACCAGAACCGGATTGTTTTTATATTTGAAGAAAAATTCTTAAAATTTCTAAAAAAAAAATAATATCGGCACGTCGTTTCTTGCCATGACCTTTGTTAATCTTTACTGAAAAAATATTATGATTTACTTTTTGTGGTTTCTTACATGGTCTACATTTTTTGTATTTATAAAATCTATTCGGCGAAAATGAACAACTTCATAATAATCAAATTAATTCATTCACAGGGAAGTTGAAACATCAAAATATTACCTTTTGTCTTAAAAGCTATGCCAAAAAATTCCACGCCCTGAAAAGAAGTGCAACAAAAGTGAAAACGTTGTTGGAAAATACAAGAGATAATGATTGTATAAAAAAAATTTTCTTTGAAAAATCCAAGCTCAATCTAGTATTTGAAAAAAAAAGATTCTTAATGAAACTAACGCTTTGATAGGCATGACATTTTCATAAAAAATCAACGCTTTGAAAAAATATCCTTTACAAAACGCACGCCTGTGATAGTCCCACAAAAATATTCTTTACAAACCAACACCAGATTTGGCCCTGAAAAAATGCACGCCTGTCCCTAAAAAAATATTCTTTACAAATCAACACCTGTTGTAGCCCTGAAAAAATTCACGTTTGTTCCCTGAAAAAATATTCTTTTAAAAAATACTCGCCTATGGATGTTCCCTGAAAAATATTCTGTCCCTGAAAAAAATTATTTACAAAATTTACGTCAATGTTAGTCCTTGAAAAAATCCACTTGTGGTCCTTGAAAAAATATTCTTAAACCAGTAAGGAAAGTAGTAAAGTCGGACGGAGCCAACTATATGATACCCTTCACTACTTTGAGTATATTCAACACATTCATACTTATAAACATCGCACTTTTGAAGGACCATTAATATGAAAGTGGATAAACTAAAATATGTGATCTTTATCAAACTGTGGACCGACTTAAATCAATCATAGACATGTCATTCTGCAACCTATGCTAAATTTTTCATATGGACATATATTTGCAATGGGACAAAATCATGTATATCGATCTAAAGTAAATCTCAATCGGACACCCATTGATTGTTTGGAGCCCAACTAACTTGAAGACCGTATATCCAAATCTGAGCCGAATTCAACGATTAAGGTTATAC